AAAATCAGTAAAATATATTTTTTTAAAAAGTCAACAACCGTGTTCGATGGGAGTTTAACTCCCATCTAGTTAAACTCTTTTATTTATTTTTTATTTTTATTTTACTGATCTGTGAAATTCAGAACGGTAACAGCCAGGCTCGGAGGAGGGGAGGACTCTGATCAGGCATGAACCAGCTTCGGGAGAGCCCTGTCCCCTGTCTGGCTGGTGAAAGCTGCCGCTTGAGACGTTCACTGAGCAGCGCCTTGCATAGGGATGGGTGTGAATACGCGCTCCGTGGAATGGAGTCACCCGTTCTGCCTTTGTCAGTGCGATGTCAGACACAGGGTCCTTCTTCTTCCGCCTTCTGCCAGGGCTGCTGAAGTCTGTGCTGAAACCTCCCCTTCGTGGACGTGGGGGCCAGACTTTGTCCCCCGGGCCCCACGGCGGGTCATGCAGGTGGGGAGCAGCCGACAGCTGCTGTCGGTGATGGCTTCCCTCCGAGCCTCCGCCAGGCGCTGGCCGCCTGTGATCGCCACGGAGGTGGCCTTCGCAGGCGTCTGGTGGCGCAGATGTAAATCATAACGGACGGGCTCCCTCCGACAGAGACAGCATTGGAGCATCCCCGCAGAGGCGGGAAGTCTCATGACTGATTCCCGAAGACAGGTCAGGGCCAGCGCCAGAGAGCCGGTTAATTGGATGGTAGCTAATTCATTGACAATTACTCATGTCTTCACTTTCCTTCCTCTCTTTATCTTATGGAGTCTAGTCTTTGGGAGCTGGACTGGGCCTTAAGAAATCAGGAGGCAGCCGAAACTGGTTTGGCTCAGTGGATAGAGCGTTGGCTTGCGGACTCAAGGGTCCCAGGTTCGATTCCAGTCAAGGGCATGTACCTTGGTTGCGGGCACATCCCCGATAGGGGGTGTGCAAGACGCAGCTGATCAATGTTTCTCTCTCATCTATGTTTCTAACTCTCTATCCCTCTCCCTTCCTTTCTGTAAAAAAATCAATAAAATATATATTTTTTTTAATAAGAAAAGAAAAGAAATCAGGAGGCAGATGAGGCAAGAGCAAAGTTTGAGCTTTGACTCTCGTTTATTAGCAGGTTCGAGCCACTTCCCTTTTGGACCTCGGTTTTCTTATCTGTAAAACGGGCTTTTGTGGGGAGACAAGGAGATGATGGCTGTAAAATACGGAGCGCGGTGCTCAGCACATCCTGAGCATTCTGTAAATGCTACCTATTATCACCCAGACCCATTCTCTCCTTTGACGGGTTCATCTGTGTGTTCAGCAGGTATTTATTAGACATGCAAATGCAGGCACTGAATTGTGCAGCTCCTTCAAAAGTGGCGATTGCAAGTATTCCAGTTCATCGCCAAACAGCCCCACACAAAATCCGTGACATTTTGCTATGAAGAAAGGAAAGCAGAATAAGGGCTAGAGTGACTGTGGGTGGGAGGTGGGGTGTCTCCTGTAGACAGTACAGTGGTTAAAGAGACTTAAATAAACAGGAGTGAGCTGTGCCAACTCCTGGGAGAAAGGCATTCCAGGCAGAGGGAACGGCAGGTGCAAAGGTCCTGAGGTAGAACCTTCCCATGTCTCAAGGGCTCGAGAAGGAAGCCAGGAGACCTTCCTCCTTCCCTCCCTTTCATATCTATCATCTCTATCTATCTATCTATCTATCATCTATCAACCAATCTATCATCTATCCATCTATCTATAACCTACCTTCCTTCCTTCCTTCCTTCCTTCCTTCCTTCCTTCCTTCCTTCCTTCCTTCCTTCCTTCCTTCCTTTTTCCCTTCCTTTCTCCCTCTCTTCCTCCCTTCCATATCTGTCATCTATCTATCATCTATCAATCAATCTATCTATCTTTCTCCTTCCCTCCCTTTTTCTCTCCCTCCCTCCCTCCCTTTCTCCCTCCCTCCTTCCCTTCCTCCCTCCCTCTCTTCCTCCCTTCCTTCCTTCCTAACTTCGAGTTCATTCTGATGCCTTCAAATGCAGCCCAAAGCCTCAGGGCTCATTTTGGCCTTCCCACGCTTCATTTGTAACATCTCCCTCTGATGGTAGAACACCTTGCTCTCGCTGCATTTGTTCCACCTGGTGCACACAAAAGCTCCTTTCAGAGCTGCTCAGCCGTACCCTGTGACAAACAGGTACAACCGGAATGCCTATTTGTGTACAGTTCTTTTTCTTTTAGCCTTAGCGCCGAGTCGGAATAATGATTTCGTACTTACTCAGTTTAGTTCTTCCTCCCCCTTTCAGTGTGATGTTGCTATTCATCTATAATATAGTTGGGCATTTGTTGCTGTTTGTATTGCACAGGCGCATGCGCGCGCGTGCGCGCGCGCGCGCGCACACACACACACACACACACACACACACTCACACTGACACACACTAACACTCTCATGGTTGACTTTAATTGTTTGCTTTTGGGGTTTTTGAGATACTGCCATGGTTCCAAGAGTCGGAGTTGTACAGATAGACTCAGGGGAATGGGCAGCCTTCTTGTCCCTGTCAGCTCATTCCATTCCCATCTCCCACCCTTCCCACCCACCCCCTGTGGGTAACCAGTGTTTTTAGTTTCTGGTTTATCCTTCCCGTGTTTCTTTCTCACAGATGAGGCAGTGCAGATATATTTTCATATAGCCCCTTTTCTTGTTATGCGGAGGGTAGAAGTACTGTAGGTGTTCTTTCACACGCTGCTTTTGCACTGACTAATACCTCCAGGTGATCACTTCACGTCAGTTTATAGAGAGTTTTCGTAAGGAGCTTTGTTAACTGTGGTAATCAGAAAAGAAGTTATCCAGCAGCCCAGATATCAACTTTAGAATTCTGTAAGATGTTGATTGATGATAAATAGTTTAAGCATTATTATCAATTGAGCATCTATTGTGTGCCATGCTTTGTATTAAGCATTTCACATACATATACATGAAATTTGCACTCGGGGTGGGGAGAGGGTTGGGTCCCTCAGCCTGCCTGCACCCTCTCTGATTGGGATCCCTTGGGGGATGTTCGACTGCCAGTTTAGGCCTAATCCTGCTACCATCCTGCAACCGACAGTCAGACATCTCTCTCACAATCTGGGACTGCTGGCTCCTAACCGCTCACCTGCCTGCCTGCCTGATCATCCCTAACTGCTCTTCCCTGCTGGCCTGATCACCCCTAACTTCTCCCCTGACAGCCTGATTGCTTCTAACTGCTCTTCCTTGCCAGCCTGATCACCCCTAACTACTGTCCCTTGCCAGCCTGATCTCCCCTAACTACCTCTGCCTTGGCCCCCACCACCATGACTTTGTCCGAAAGGATGTCCAGAAGATGTCAGTCTAATTAGCATATTATCCTTTTATTAGTATTGATTGCATCGACTCCTTCCTAGAGCCTTACGAAGTAGGTGTTAGCTGCAGTTTATTGAGGAAACAGAGCCTCGGTGATGTTTGGAAATGTGCCCCAGGCCATTAAAAGTGGAGCCACAATTTGAACTCTGTCCCAAGTCTGTGCTTTGTGAAGGGCCCGCCAGCACTAACAGAAGCTCCAGGGTAGCATGGAACCATATCCTACCCAGGCCTTCAAACCCTTTGGATGGTGGATCAGATCCTGCAAATGGGGGCATGTGGCTGATGGCAGGAACATGAACACAATTTATTGCCCATTTGTTCCAAAGAAACGGCCCTTCCGTTTAAAGGATCCTGACTCCTGCCTCCCAGACAGGCAACAAGAGGGATGCTTGCTGGGACCAGCTACCTGGGACGCAGTAATAGGTCCCGTCTCACACCTCGTTAATCGCCGGGCCAAGCAGCCAGCGCCGCTAACGGGAAAGCACATTACACCACGGGGCCGTGTGGTTAGCGGGACACTCCATCAGGCCCACGTCGCAGCCGCTTCTCTTAACACTGTGTGTGCGGCAGAAGTGGGAGAAGAATTTCTTTGAGCAGGCGCCTGGCTTCTTTTTGCTGGGGCGGGCAACACGGCGGAGCTGGTTGGGAGGTTGGCTTCTGTGTCTGAGTGCCCGGTCCTCATGCCGGGGCCAGGGTTTCTAACTGGGTGACCTTGGGCAAGTCACGTCACCCCTGCGATATGGGGGTGAGAACCAGACCCATCTTTGACCTGGGTCCCTGAGACTGCCCCGAGGTCCAGTGAGGTGCTGGGTGGAGTCACAGAGCTCAGCCTGTCATTGGTGACAGCACAGGAGGAAGGTGAACGGAGGGAGGGCCAGAGTTCAAACTTCCTCTCCCGGGATATCACTGTAGGATGCACGTAACCCCCCTGCTGGCACGTAACCCCGCGGTGGCCACGCGTGTAACCTTTTCTTCTGGGGAATCTCAATAGAAACTCGGTGTCCAGGGCTTTTCCTGGGAGCTGGCCACACAGACACCGTCTTCCCAACTCTCAGAATAAAAGCAGGTGTTCTGCATACACTGTGCTGTTGCAGGAATAGCCCAGGTGCAGTGAGCCGCTCTTGTGAGAGAATGGAGCGAGCCCTGCCAGAACCTGGGTTCCCAGATGCCAGCCAAGCGGGGGGCCACGCTTGCCAGCCGGCCTTTCCGAGGAGAGCCTGTTGAGTGAACCCCTTCCTCACACCGCCCCCGGGGTGGCTGCTGGGTGGATTAAGAGATGATCCACGTGGCGCGCTGGCCGTTCCGTCTAGTGTCAGAAGCGCTCCGTGCATGTGGGCGATTACGGGGACAGCCAGGGGATGGATCTGGAATGGCTCGTCAGCACCTTGAGAACAAGCTCCATCCATCATCCATCTCCTCACCCAGTGCTTTCCCGTGGGGCACCTGTTGAGGGAGCCCTGCTGCTGCAGGCGCTGTCGCCTCCCTGGATCTTGGGGAGCCTCAGGAGCAGCCCCTCCCTTCCCGGAGGGCGATGCCCGTGGGCTTCCAGTCTGGGGGTGTCGGGGTGGGAGGGGGTGGTAAGTGGCCATGGGAGGCTTCCAGGTAAATGCACAGGGTTGGCGGGGTTGGGAAACGTCACCCCCTGACATCTCGCTGTGTGTCCTGTGTCCTCCCGCAGCCAAGGCCAAGTCGAGATGCAGCCCGACGTTCTTCCCCTGTGCCAGCGGCATCCACTGCATCATCGGCCGCTTCCGGTGTAACGGGTTCGAGGACTGCCCCGACGGCAGCGACGAAGAGAACTGCAGTAAGTGGCCCCGTGTTCACTCCGGCCGCCCCCCCCAACTCTCCCTCCTTCCCTGGCCCCGTGCTGGCCGTTCTCAGCGCTGGCTTCCTCCCCCACAGGCCCCTGTGTTCCCTGCTGTGCCCCAGACTCTGTTCTTTACCACTTCCGTCTTGTGTCGGTGCTCAGCTGCCATTCGTTAAGACTCTCCTGAGTGCACTGGGCCGTGGTAAACTTTGTTTTTAGTTCTGACAATAGAGATGCAAATGCCGGCGTCTGATCCCTGTGAACAGGTAAAGCATCCGAGGTGCAGAGAGGGAGGCGAACTCATCCAGGGTCACGCAGCTCCCAAGGAGTTGAGCCAGTTCCAGGCTCATCCAGACTCTCTTCTGAGTGACGCTCCCACTTAACACCCCAGGTCTATGCGCTTGCTTTCCTTCTTCCTTTGAATTCTTTCCAAAAAAAGATGTTTCTAGCCTGGCCGGCATGACTCCCTGGTTGAGCGTTGACTTAGGAACCAGAAGGTCACAGTTAGATTCCCGGTCAAGGGCACATGCTTGGGTTGTGGGCTCTATCCCCAGTAGGGGGTGTGCAGGAGACAGCTAATCAATGATTCTTTCTCATCATTGATGTTTCTCTCTCTCTCTCTTTCTCCTTCCCTCCCTCCCTCCCTCCCTCCCTCCTTCTTCCTTCCCCTCTGAAATCAATAAAAATATATTTTAAAAATATGTTTCAATATTAATTATACACATATTAGGAGGATATATTTTTGAAAAAACATTCAAACAGTAGAGAAAGATAGAGTTTTTTTATGTGTGACCATCCTGATTCCTTTTACCTGCTGTATAATATTCCTCTGTGAGGACAGACACCCTGCCCCCCAAACCCTCCCACCCCACCCCCACCTTGTCCTCTCTACCCCTCCCCCCTTGCCTCTGAGCACTCTGTGTTGAACGTCATACTCCTCAGCCTGGATACGTGCAGCCCCTTCCTTGCAGCATCTCTGTGTCCACAACCACTTCACAGACAGCGGCCGCTGTGACCTTCAAGCATGCCTTCCCCGCCCCATTCTGTCCCATCTCTCCCAGCAAGCTGCCCTGTGCCTGCTGCTGGCCGTGCGGGTGGCTGCTCACTGATTCTCCTTAGCTTTCTCCTCGAGTGTTTGGACTGCTGGATTCCTAGCCACTGTATTGGCTCTGAACAAATTCACCAATTTATTTTCTGTGTCCACATATTTTAGTAACATTTCTTTCTTCTGATCATTAAAAGAATTTACAAAATATAGGAAAGTATAAAGAGGGAAATGAAACTGCCCAAAATGAAACACTATTAGTATTTGGGCTGTTTTATGCCAGTCCTATCTCTCCCCTGCCCCCTCCATATCTCTCTCTCTCTCTCTCTCTCTCTCTCTCTCTCTCTCTCTCTCTCTCTCCTCTTATATGTTTAATTGAGATGTCCTCTTTCCTGTGACCATTCTCTCCTGTCATCCATTTTTTCAAAACATAAGTTTTAGCGACTTCAACGACGGGATACATTGATTTTCCCTCACCCCATCGGTTCTGTTTTAAGTCCCTGAAGAGGAGGTGGCTGCCTCCTGGGTTCTTTATGTCTTTCCAGGGAGCTGTCATAGCTCTACCTTTCCAGCGGGACAGAGAGGGCCAATAACTCTCTCCTGTGCCTTCTCCTGGTGCCTTATTTCACTTGCCGGGTCTCCGGTGGCAGAAATACAGTCCAGTGCTCGATTACCGAATGGTTAGCACAGTGGCCAAAGCCCGCCTTCCTGCTGACGGGTGCGTGCAGCCGGCTGGGCAGAGTGCAGCTGGAGCTGGCGTGCCTGGCCTGGTCCGTGTTTACCCCCATGAGGCAGGATGTGGGCGAGGTGCATGATCTCTCTGCACAGGGGTTCCCCGGTCTCCAGAAGCCGTGCTGAGAGCCTGCTCCCGGGGCTGTTGTGACAATCAGGTGAGATAATGCCCGGAAAGTGCTTGGTGCAGTGGCTGGCACATGGTAATTGCTTATAGAAACATAGAGTGAGCCCCGCTGGTGTTGCTCAGTGGTTGAGCGTCCACCCATGAATCAGGAGGTCAGGGCTCAGTTCCCAGTCAGGGTACATGCATGGATTGCTGTCTCAATCTCCAGTAGGGGATGTGCAAGAGGAAGCTGATCAGTGATTCTCATCATTGATGATTCTCATCATTGAGGATTCTCTCTCTCGTCCTCTCCCTTTTTGAAATCAATAAAAATATATTTTTTTAAAAAACAAACAAAAACAAAACAAAACAGAAAACCCCCTAAAAATGTATAATGACTTAAAACTGTGAGAGGTTAAGGGGAAGACCATAACTGCTAGGATTTCATTCTTATCTTCGGATGTCCAAGGACATTTTTTTTTTTTTTCTTAAACACTGTAAACATTTTTATATTTAGAATTAGCCAGCTGGGCTCTGTTTAGATCATGCCAGTTTTGTTGGCAACATGCAAAGCGTCCCAGTGGGGGGCCGGTGGAACATATGCCTTCAGCTCTCCATTAGGCCTGATCGGAGTGTTGACCGTGGCCACCTCACTGTCATAGGGCTTCCTCACTGCCTGTTGGATCAGTGCTCCTTGGCCTTGACTTCCACAGGGAACACAGGGTATTGCTGTCTTCTCCCTTCTCCACGGCAGGCTCGGTGGTCAGGGGGACGTCGATGCTGGCACAGTGGGCAGGCTTGTTTTCTCCTGGGAATGCTCTTCTGAGGCTGTTTGGGCGCATTGTCTTGGGCCACTAGAGGTGGGTGATGGGCGGGTCTCCTTGGGTTCTTTTGTGGCTGTGGACGCCTCTCAGCGCTGCTTTCGCTGCCTTCAAAAGCCTTTGCTTTGGCTTTGGGAAAGGCAGGGGCTTCCTTCTTCAATTTCAGCTCCGTCTTCATGAAAATGATGTGCTTCTGTGGTAGTTCATTTAGGGCAGTGGTCAGCAAATCGCAGCTCGTGAGCCACATGCGGCTCTTTGGCCCCTTCAGTGTTCTAAGGCCACTTCTTCCACAAAGACTCGCCCAGGCCGAAAACCCCCTTCTGTGCATGGGCTACGAAGTTTCAATCGCACTGAACGTGCGTGCCTGCACGTGGTATTTTGTGGGAGAGCCACACTTGGGAGCCGCAGTTTACCGACCACTGATTTAGTATGTCTGAGCTCGATCTCTGCTTCCTACTGGGGGGATCTTAGAATCTAAGGGGAGAATTACAGGTATGTTACATCTACAGGGTGTCCCAAAAAACTGTACCCACACCTTAACAGCCGAGAGCTCCATTTTGAAAACAGAATATCTTTTAATTAAAACTGCCTTTATACCGGTAATTCTTCCAAGTGTGTGTACACATTGGGGAGACACCCTGTGTATTCATAGGTCTATCCTAGAGAGTAATCCAACAGCAATAAAAAGCAAGTGGGACACATTATAGGAGGTACATGCTAAGTGACGGCCATGCTACACGCTCCCTGCTGCGGTTAAAGACCCCGTGTGACTTAACTATGTGGATATTGGTCTTTAATTATCTAAGTGGGTGAATTATATCCATCGCAGAGTAAGCCAGCATTCTCCTTTGGCTCACCTACCATTTAAAAACACAGGTTCTCGCTCACTCGCTGGAAAACTGGGGGACACAAGGAAAGAGTCAAGCACTTAACCCTCCCTTCCCTTTATGATGTGTACGTCTGAGTAATTAAATACCTGGCTTGGAAAGTTTTCTTTTCATTGAAGAGTAACAACTGTCATAGAAGCATGAGTGAATTAGGATCTCTCCGTTTTGCAATCGCTAATTAAGAAAGGGGTCACCGATGGCGGCGAAACCATGAGGTGAAAAATTGATGCAGGGCTTTACACAATCGATGGACGAGGCTGGAAACCTCTGAGACCGGCAGTCAATCACCCCTAGACAGCTGCGGATCAATGTGGTACCACTTCAGGTGGAATGGAGACCCCATCACTCTATAGATCCACCCGTCAGCCATGTTCAACCTTTTTCATCTCACGGCACACACAAACTAATTGCTAAAATTCCGTGGCACACCAAAAACTAGATGATATTTTTTGCCAATCTGACAGAAAGGAAGGAAGGAAGGAAGGAAGGAAGGAAGGAAGGAAGGAAGGAAGGAAGGAAGGAAGGAAGGAAGGAAGGAAGGGAGCTATAATTTTGCGTCATTCACACCAGATGGCTATGGTTGTGTTGGCTGTTGTCATTTTTCTATTTGACAGTCTCAGGGGGAAAAGGTCAATGCCCTTGACTGACTAGTCAGGGATTTGCATGTTTTAAAAATTCTTGTGGCACACCGGTTGAAAATGATTGCTTTTTGTAATAGTTGTCTTTAGTGCATCTATATACATTAAAAAAAATCCTCAAAGACTGCTTTTTGATGTTTGCTTAAAGTGCTCCAGAGGGTGGGAGGTTTGGGGGGGAACAGGGCAAGACAGCTACTATATAGTTTGCTGCTCCTTCCTTCCTGATGTTGCTGGTATCATTTCCTTCGTGTCTGGAGAACTTCCCGCAGCAGTTTTAAAGCAGGTCTGCTGGCACCGGGTTCTCCTCATTTTCCTTCATCTGCGAATGTCTTTATTTCACCGTCACTCCTCAAGGATATTTTTACTGCCTATAGAATTCTGGGTTGACAGTTCATTTCTTTTCTTTAAGCATTTTGAAAATGCTGTGCCACTTCCTCTGGCGTCTACGGTTTCCAGGGAGAGAAGTTTGTGCAGTCATTCAGATAGTTTCTCCGTAGAGAATATATCATTTTTTTCTCCAGCTGCTTTGAAGGTCTTTTTTCTTTAGTTCCAGCAGTTAGATTATAGCGTGTCTGGGTATGTGGATTCCTTTCGAGTTCATCTCTTGAGAGTTCTATTTGAATTGGAAGGTTTTTGTCTTTTTCCATACTCAGTACATTTTAAGCTATTATATCTTCAAATATATATTTTTTAAGTACTTCATCTTTTCTCCTTTTCTTGAGGGATTCTGGCAACATAACTTGAGTCTTTTTGTTAACTGTCCCCACA